ACCTTTCTATCCTGACGGCCTGCATCATCAGCCATATGGCCAGCGCTCTTCACTAACAAATTGATAGAGTTTCGTTTCAGATTTCGAGGTCATACAACGATTTTCATGTGAGCGATGAGAATCTGTGTCCAAAAAACAGCTTCAAAGGGGAGTGTTAGTTTGGACTTGCTCTCTTCAATCCTTCACACTATTAGGTTGTTCCATAAATCTTGGCACTAGAGCAATAAACATCAAATTTATTACCCAGAAGTAATTAAAACTGCACGTCTTTGGCATCGTCCATTTGCACATTTTCTTGCGAACATTTTGGCATGCAACTTGCCTACGTTGCAGGGTTAACGCCTTCGAGGCCATGGATCCATGGCTTCTGTATCTCTAACTGGCAACCCTGAACGGTCTGCTCCACCACCTCTGCATCTTTAATCCCCAACGTGCCACTGTTGCACGCTGTACGATGTGGGTCAGAGTTGCGGAGGAGGTGGAGCAGACTGTTGAGAGTTCAGCTGGAGATGCACTGACTGTGAGTCTACAATCCCGAAATAGCTAACATAGACGTGGCTCGGGAACAAATTCGCTTGCTATTCACGCACGAATGACGCGTACGCGAAAATGCTACTGAAGCGGCGCGCAAGATTAATGGAGCTTTTTAACGGCTGGAGCCTGATTATCCAGACTGTTCTTTTCAGCTTTGCACTTCGTGAACCACTTCCTAGTCGTCCTTTCTGCTACCGTATCATCGCTCCAGACTCCATTAATCATGCGCTCCGCTTCATTAGCATTCTCCCATACGCGCCATTCGTGCATGGGTAGCAAGCGAATTTGTTCCTAAGACAGCTCCATCTCAGCGCAAATGTCGACTAGTTGTATATCGAAATATTTGCAAGAATTTCGCAATTGAACAATATCAAAATCATGCAATTCTACTTACTTCTGGTGGTGTTTGTCCATTCTTGGGCGGCAAATGGTTATTCGACCCCATTCGCTGCACAAAAAATTTTCATAAGAGTGTTAGTGACCATTCGTAAGCCTATCTCTGAGTAGCGCGGTACGTGGCCGGTTTTTGAAAGAACCTTTCTTTCACAATGGAGACCTATGTGTATCACACACGCATTTCTCTGCTAAGATGGAGCTCTTTCTTGAGATTCAAGAATACCAACAGTGTGCTTATTTTCCAGAAAGAGCGTTCCTCTTCAGCGTAGCAGGGAAAATGAGATCGAGGCTCACACATCCTGCTTGCTTGTTTACTTGCTAATTCACGAACGAGGCATCTGGTGGTCGAAGATTCGATGCGGCCGGCTACGATCCATCGATTGGCGCTTCGACGAAGTGCGATTTTTGTCATTCGATTGAGAAATTTTTCTCCGCTTTGAAAGGAAATCGAAATCAAACGTATGACCCTGATACTATAATATTCTCCTACACGATCATATACTTTTCGTGCATACAGAGAAGTAATCGTTGAATCGCACAGCCGACGTGAAGCAAAATTTTATTTTGAAATTCAAAGAGTCGTACAAGGGCATTTTTGAAAACAGACCATGTATCGCGCTAGCCAGAAATTTAAGCTTTCGAGCGATTGCTATGACTCCTACGAAAAATTTTTGTCCAGCGAGTGGGCTCGAATATTCATTTATAGCCTCATTATGGACAAGAATCCTTCTGGTTAATAAATTTGGTGTTTGCCGCTGTAGTGCCAAAACATCTGAAGCGTCTTAATATTTCGAAGCTCTACCATTTGTTTTCTGAGTTGCATTTCTGCTTCGTTTCAGTAAGTTATGATGTGTTTTTCTTTCACAATTTAGATTATCTATTAATTTATTCGATAGATTCTTCTATAAATTAACATTCGGAATTCGGAATAAAATTTAGTTGCTTCATTAGGTTTGCCAACCTTGTGGTATCTGCAAAATCATGATAAATAAAGAATGAGGCTCTCGGCGTTGATCAATGCCTGAGGGATGTGCCATGCATCCGTCTTCAATTTTTAATTTCGTTTGAGGTGATCAAACGCATATCTGGCCCTTCGCGGTGGCCTTTCGCTGAATCGAGTCAGTGCTGCTTATCCCCCAGACAATCCTGGGGCCAGTCTCGTATCAATTTACCGACTCCAGAGGGATGGATGGCTTTGTGAGCCATGAGCGCCGGATCGGACCACCGACCACATGTACATCGCAGCTTGAACCACTGCGCTCTTACAGAACACTTAATTCCCTGAAAATCTTCCCTTTTGTTCATAGTAGTTTTTGAGGTTGTGCTTGATGATATTCGTTATTTAACCCATGCCAATGGTATCGCGGAGAGTAGATCTGAACAAGCCTTTTTAGAATCGCAGCCGATGGTGCTTTAATCTCCGCTGCCCATAGTGACTGTAAATATATCATCCAGTTATCTTGCAAAGACAGACCAACTCAACAACTCAGCTGTTATATTCGCAGAAGCTCAGGAGAGTATTTACCTCATAATTAGCTCAAAGATATCGTTATACTATGCTTTGGAATAGTTATCAGGAAGTTGACGTGTACATTTGACTACCGGTGTTTGAGACTTCTCTGTTTTTGTTTTGTTCTTGTTGAGAAGAAAGTGGGATAGGGGAAATAAACGACATGATCCTCTAATGATCTTATGGTGCGTTTCGTACCGTGCCGCGCGACGTCAAACCTCACTCAGCAACTGTAATGGCAGTGTCGCGTCCAAGCGCAGACGACATGCAAATGCTGGCTGCCTGCTATTGCCGCGCAAAAGGCGGCGCGACGCCGCCTGCTGGTCCTCAAGGGTTAATTATGGGGAATTTTTTGCGGCACAACGTCGTCAATGGGCAAAACGTTGTATATTACAAGGAACCTAAGATTTCCCATTAGTCAGTTCCGAGTTTGCTTTAGTGGGTCTCCATGCAGCTGCGGGTTTGATAGATGTAATCAGCAAAAACGTTTTGTTTAAACGCTCCAAACCTCGGGGTGAAGTTCAACCCGCGTCACGTCTTCTCCATAGCTGTGTGCCAAGTAGTGCACTACCTCTGATTCTGTTCTGCCATCATTCTTTCTACGGTATGCTTCAAAAAGTCTCCCATACTCTGTGGTTCATCCCATTTTTAGTGCTTTTTCATAGGTGCGGATTTCAACTCAGGCTTATCCGTTATTTCGCAATCCTCCATTCAGAGGAGTAGTACAGTGCTTCTTCTCTTATTGTAAAGTTTTGTGGAGGTCGTCTTGCTAGATATTCGGGTACTTATGTGCTAGACGGCGACAAATGAAAAATTGATCTCATTCGCTGAACCAGAACTTTTCATGGGAGTGTTAGTATTCATTAAAAAGCTCGAGTCTTTTGCTTGAGCAACACGTGGCTCATTTTTTATAATACCCTTTTGTAAGCCCGTAAAATCCAAAATAAATTGAAGTTCCACACTTGCACGTGTTTTTTTTTTCTCTTCTCGCTTATATTGCGCTGGACAAATCTCCTACCTTGGAGTGTTAGTACTCATTCGGTAGCCCACGTTTCGAGGAACTCAAAATGCGTTTATTTTTTGGAGAAGCTCTTCTGATAGCGCTATAGGAGAAAGAAAAGATTTGTGCTCTATACTTCACCGTACAAAGCTCTTTTTTAAAATATTAGTAATCATTAGGTTGCATAAGTTTCAATGATTCCAACGCTTTGCTTATTTTCTGGAAATATCTTTAGCAGGGAATAGGTTCGAGTTCTACATTTTCGAGCGAGCTTGCTCATCAGTTAGTCTACATTCTATGCGGTCGGGGGGACGGAGTCCATTTGATCATAGGCTTGGCCGTTGGGTATGTAGGATGTAGTTTATAATTTAATTGGAAATTTTTTCTCCGCTTTGAAGGGAGCTCCAGATAAAACGATGACTCAGATACTACGAAAGTTTCTTCACACGTTGATATGCCTTTTGTGCTTCCATTTAATAAAAGTGTGAGAAAAATGAAGGCTCGTGGAGGGTGTGAAACATAATCTTATTATTTTCTGCACTCTTATAAAAGGGTCTTTTTAATAACCGGCTGTTTAAGGCTCTTTTTAGTGATTTAATCTTTCGAATGATTGCTAGCACGTTCCTATTCCACCAATGTTGTCGATTTTTCATTTGTCACCTTCTAACATATAAGTACCGAGATCTGAGGGTTTTTTCTTCCGAACTATGTCTCGTGGTTTCTGCCATGTTAATGAATCTGTGAACCGCTACACTTTCGTAATGAAAGGACATTAGAGGTTAATCAGCAATTTTCTCTCTTTTTTGGCTAAATGGTACGTTTTCCTCCGTTTTGTTCTAAATATCCATTTTGTCGATTTATATAACAAAGCTCCCATGGGAGTTTTGCTATCTTTTCGGGAATTACATGATAATTTGGCCAACGCAGATGGTCCGTGACCTTAAAGAGCAAGTGGTACCGCTGAGGTTCGAGGAGCTTAGACAGAAAATGGTTCTAATGGCGAGGGCGGCACCCAGCTGCCACCAACCTCAACAGGCAGTTCGATCGACGGGCATCATCCGAACGGTCGTCTGGCCTCACCCGGATCACCTCACCTCAGTTCATTGTCGACTCATTATTGCTCTCTCCACATAGTCTCGTTATCATGTAACTAACTGCTATCATAAGGTTGCTGCTAGGTTGCCCACTGCTAACACTATGTACTCACCCACTGGATCCCGCCTCCGGAGCTTCTACTTGGGGGCGAACATAGCAATGCCAAACGGGCTCCGCCGCCTAGATGTTCCATTAATAACAACATCCATAGTTCATCAATTACGTTCACTTATTCATACTACCGTCACGAGACTATATATCACATCGACAAACTTATTTTCACATAACGATATGTCGCAATCGGATATATACATATATATGTATATATATATATATATATATATATATATATATATTGTTCTTATGTTATCATTAAAGTGATATATGTATATTGTAGGTTGCTTGGTACAACGCCATTGTTTGGTTCTAGCACTGAATCACCAACGCCTTTAGCGCCACATTTGGTGCACTAGCCGGGAATCGAACCCGGGTCGTCCGCGTGGCAGGCGAGCATTCTACAACTGGACCGCCGATGCACTACACATTTGGCGCATTGCCCACTCATAGATCGGGGCACACAGCAGAAAGCCCCACTTCTCGGTGCACAGATCAGGGGACTGAGCAAGAAAACCCTCATTTCTTGGGACACAGAGCGGACAACTAGCAAGAAACCCCGACTCCTGTGGCATAGAGCGGAGAATTAGCAAGGAAACCCCAACGTATGGTTCACAGAGCGGGGAACTAGCAATAAAGCCCTCCTATACGGCATATCAGCCGACTATCGCATACTGGTCGCCAGGGAATCTTGCAAACAAGAGACGCAGCCTCACCAGCCGAATGAAATATTCGCAATGACTATAATTGCGACAACCAACTCTATGAGTAGCTGAGCAAGACAACTTCATCAGGTTTAACGAAACAACCTCAAACTTGGAAAAGCGACAGGTACGTTTGAGTTCCGTCATTACCTCCAACTCACCATCCATACACTGTATGGAAAGGGCTGAAGCAAAAATAAAACAGGGAATATAAAACGTCAACATCATGACGGACCAGTGCATGTAGTGGCAGCCGAAGTATTGGAGAAGATTAGCGTACCCCTAAAAATAGGCCTACAACGCACGACCTTGCGTTATGGTCTACATACTCTTACTTTTGCTCAATCAAGAATATTCCTAGCGCCCATTACCACCTCAAACCTGATAAACAACCTCAGCTGAGGACTTCATATCTAGGCCTCCGGATCAGTCGTGGCATCTACATGACTAGGTCTAAGTGGGGACCGTCCGAGAAGACGAAATAATTTACAACTTTTGTCCAAGAAGACGAATAAACTTAAACTTTCTTCCGAGAGGACGACTAAACTACAAAGACTTTTCTCAATCAAACCGGACGTTATAGACGCACATTTTTGTCGCCGGACAGAGCTCTTTCTTTGAATTACTGGTAATCATACGATAGCGTAATCGAATTTGATTCCATTGCTTTGCTTATACCCTGAAAAGATTGTTTCCCTGCAACGTTGCGAAATAATGAATTGAACTTCCATTTGCGATCTGGAAAATCTTTGGCCAATTCACGTGCCTGTGCGAGAGACGACCACGTGAACTGCTGATGCGATACTTCTCTAGGCGTTCATATGCTCGAAAAATCGATGATCGTCGCATTATCGAACATTGCCACCTCATGCGCAGGACATGAAATGGCCAAAGACTCTCTTGATCGCTGATGAGAATTTAACATATTTTACCTGTTGCGTTGCAGAGAAACGGCATTTCTAGGATATAAGCACAGCATTGTGATCGAATTCGATTACGCTATTGTATGACTACTAATAGTTTAAAGAAAAAGTCGTTTCCGAAGAGAAATATGCGCCTCATTAACGCAAGAAATCTTCTATTGCACCGTCAGAGAAGCCTTTTTTGAAAACTGACGACGTGGAGCTGTGGCTTGAAGTCTCAACTTTCGAATGGTATTTCAAACTACTATGGGCTACCACAAGATTTCTGTAAGTTTGAAGAACAGCAAAAAAAGCCTTGTTTTCAAGGGTTGAAGAATGGATTGAGGTAAGGGAGTCGTACAAAACAATAAAAATTACACCTCTTCCTCTAAAGGTCAAAAATGAGGCGTTTGGTTGGACGAATTTCCCAGTGAGTTTCAGTGCTGCTGCAAATGAGATGGCACCAGCATCAAACGCCTCTTCGTAGCGATCCGGTTGTCATATACGTGGAGAAAATTCTTCTGGAAGTAAAGGCAAATATAACAAATGAATTCCAGCAAGCAGAATGTAAATGCAAGTTTTTGAGGATTTCAAGGGGTCACCAAGCATTCCCTGCACGAATTAGCGAGGCATTTGCTACTGCCAAGTAGCACCGACAGTTGATTACAGAGCAAGATGGTGAACACTAATTCGTTTGATTTGCTCTGTTAAGAATTTTTTTCGATTGTGGTCTCTTTCAATACCAGATTTTGCTTTTGTTTCCTCATTACTAGAAGTATTTTTGCATAATGTTTCTTTATCTCATCAATATGATCTCTTTGTAGGCTTCGTCGTGTCAGTGCTAATGGAAATGACGTGAAACAACGACGAAGTTCGCATTTCAGAGAAAAGATTGTGAGTAAGTCGACTTATGTAATGATAATTATTTTTGCTTGAGAATTAATTTTGCTTAGATGACGCGAGGTTGCTGATAGTAGTAATAGTTATATTTGATATTGAGCGTTATGTAAAATCTTGCGATATATATATATATATATATATATATATATATATAAATCAATGTCAACCTGTTCGGGACGACAATAGAATTTCCTGCGAGAAGTGCGAATCGTGAAGCAGAGTGCAGTTTTCGTTATTTGAATAAGGTTTTCTTTCTCCGTTTTGATATGTGTGAAGAAAAGTACTAGTTTACCGCGCAAATATATTGTCTTTGGTATCTCTGTATTTCTCTGTATCTCTGTTTGTATCTAGTTATCTGTCATAAGTTACACAATAATATTACAAACGAAATTTTAGTAGTTAAATTTCATGCAATATCCAAAAGTTCTCACAAAACATTGCCTTTCACTTTCGGTATGCTTTTCGCGCTTGCGCATAAGCTACTTAAGCTTAGAGTGACGCTTTGGCTTAGTAGCATGTTTATCTAACAAATGAAAACCAAAGGCCGAAGCACTAGATCGATAGAACAGAATCGCTAGATCTCGATGCAGAAAATCTTAGAAGCTTTGCAAAGAGGAACAAAGTTTTCAAATAAATGAAAAAAAAATGCTGGCGATAGCATTTGAAGTATTTGAACACACTATAATTTTGAATTCTGCACCGCTGTGGGAGAAAGTTTTCGGAAAAAATCTATTTTTAAACTCTTCAACATTTGAACCTTGAATGATTTTTAATAGAAAGGCCCGAATGCGGCCCACGCTGCTTTCCTTCTTCTATGAAGTTCCTCCTTCATGTTGTTTTCCTTATAGTGAACGATCGAGGTACACGTACGAGGAGGTCTCCGTAATCAGAGATCTATCCAGTCTGATATTTTCATCATTGCACCATTGGTTTTCCATGAAATGTGTCTTCATGCGATCTATGCGTAGTCCGATCTTCTTTCCCGCTTTGTTAAGTTCCTTGACCATTGTCTCTGCTTCAGTAGTGCTTTTCCAGAATAATACAACGTCTTCCGCAAAACGAAGGTTTGACAAGGCTTTTCCATTGACGCATATGCCTTTCTCGTCCCAATCAAGCGGCTTCCTTATCCATTGCAATGCGGCGGTGAACAACTTTGGCGATATCGTATGACTTTTCGAACCCCTTTTCCAGTGGGTATGCTAATACATCGATGAAAGGGCTATATTCACATGGAACAGTTCCGATAGCAGTCTAATAAAGTTCTTATTGTAGGACGAATCCACTTTTTGATCGACGAGCGCTGATAAGACTGCGTTCGTTTCGTCGGTATCAAATACTTTTTCATAGTCAATGCAAGTTAGGATTAAGGGCAGTTGGTACACTCGACAGACTTGAGTGACCCGTGATACGGTTTGACTGTGGTCCATATAGCAGAATGCTTTACGGAATCCTGCTTGTCCAATAGGTTGAGCCTCATCCAAACTTCTTGATATGCGCAGAAGGATGATCTTCGTAAAAAGCTTGTGAAGTATGCTTAATTGAACGATAGTTGCAAAGATCCCTTTGGTCACCCTTTTTATGGATGATGATTGTGCGCAATGTCCTCCACTGGTTTGGAATTTTTTTCTTTAAAGGTAAAATGTCATATGTGCCGCAGAAATACACGTAAATTATGGCCTCCGGCTTGCAGCAAATCGCAAGAGATGTTAACAGGACCTGGAACAGTGCCTTTTTTCATGCTTTCTGTCGCGACTCGAACTTCAGAGGGCAGAATCCCAGGCATATTTTTCCAGTAGGGATTACCTGGTCCGAGACGGGGATGGTGGAACGGAAAAGATTGGTGTAGAATTTTTCCCATTATAAATCCCATATCATGGCGGAAAGTTTTTGTGATCCCGTCTTCGTTCGTCAACGCTGACAGCGGAACACTGTAATCACACAGATTCCGACGGCACTTATTGAGGCTAGATCTTTCTTGTGCTGCTTCTAAAGGTTTCTTGTGTCGCTAACGATGTAGATCCTTCTGGAAAGCTCTTCTGCAGCTTGTATTTGATATCAATCGAGCTAAATGTATTGCATTGGGATCAAGCTTCAGTTTCCTTCGCTTTTCGAGCAACTCCTCCGTGGTGGAGAGGCGATCGCTCTCATGGTCTGAACAACTGAAGCCAAGTCGGCGCGCCTTTTTAGTCCTCCGACAAGTAGCTCGTAATCTTCGGTCGAATCATCCTTAATCTGCCAGTCGTGGTTTGATATTATTTTGTCTAGAATGTTCCCGTCGTAGAGTTCGTGTCGTTTCAAAGAAATTTGGTCGGCATCCTGTCTAGCAGTCGAGTTTTCTTCCAGTTGATTCGGAATGATATTGAGACCGAATCAATAAACAAAGTAGGAACGAATGAATAAAGTCGACCGACCGATTGAGGTTGTTTCAAGGTCGGAAAGACCCTTTTAGGTTTTGACGATGTCGTTTCCAAGGAATATCTTCATAGCAGCGGATTCTTTAGTCAGAGTTCCTATTGGATGATACGGAGATTATTAGAATATAAGAATATAAGAGATGTTCAAACCGAAATCGTTAATTACTGGAAAGGAGAAAGTAATTAACCGACCGCTCAGGGGCGATGCAGGGCGGAGAATATGTATATTCTGCAACTATATATATATATATATATATATATATATATATAGAGCGCATGTGGCGCAGTGGTTAGAGGTGCCCTGCGTCGCACACGAGGTCAATGGTTCGATCTCGCGCTCATGGCCGACCAAGCCATCCATCCCTCCGGGTTCGGTAAATTGGTACCAGGCAGGTCTCAGACTTGTCTGGGAGGATAAGCAGCACTGACTCGGTTCAGCGGGAGGCCACCGCGAGTCATTGTAAAGGCCAGATATGCATTCAATCACCTCAAACGAAGTTAG